GCGTATGTCAACCAGGAGCAGCACGCGCCTACATTTTTGTCTTGCAACCAATTACTGCGACCACATGCTCCAGCTGAAGAGTTTATTCAAGCAGTATTTGATATTTATCCCTTTTTTTGTTTTGTTTTGTTTTGTTTTGTTTGTTTGCATCCCATCTTCCCCCAAACCCCCTCAGCTGTGATTTCTTTGTTTTTCGAACCCTCGCGTCGTTTTGGGAATTTTTCTTTCCAACCGTCATCCCATGGATACTTGCAAACCTCCCTATCTGTTCAGTCGGCTAATTGAATTTGCAGCTGACTTTTAATTAACGACGGGGCCGATTTGCATAGAGTCGACTCATTTGCATACGGTCGCAGCCCCTCCCCCACGCATGTCTGAGCGCCTGGCACGGAGCCAGGAGAAAAGGGTGGAAACTGACATTGGCGAGAGGAGCAAGGAGGGAGGAAGGGACGGATGGAGGAGGAGAAGGTGAGGCGTCCGCCAACAAAGGAGACGAGAAACGGCAGATGGAGGAAAAGGAGGAGACAAATGGGGGGGGCAAACAACAGCAACTCACGCCACTAAGAATGAGCGAGGTGGACATGTAAACACACGCTAAACAAATGTATGCACAGCACGATCAGCCGCATGCACGCGCGCACGTGTGACAAACATCTCGACAGATTTTGCAATCAAGTTAGCTAATTAATAAATCAAACCGGGGGGAAAAACAGCTATAGTTATATTCATCTTACAAACAGGTGTTAATTGGAGGCACATTGGCTTTATGCAGATGAGCTCGTGAGGTGCAGTTTAATGTAGTTGAATAAATAAAGCCAAGAAAGACACACAAAGCTCATCTCCTGTTTCAACAGTACATGTGTGACAAGGACAACTCATATCTAAATACATTGACACACCGCTGCAGCCGCCTCGTGCATATTCATGCATTCACACGTTAACCCGGGCGAGCATTTGTCAGGATGCTTCCTGACCAGAGGGCCTGTTCTGCTCTGATAGGTGCCATCCATCAGCACTGTCTGACCGCTGAGCATGCCCATATCTGTTAATGCCCCCTCCATCGTGTGAGGCGTAGCAGCCTGTACCTAGCAATATCGTGAGGTTGCGTGTGCATCCGCTCCGCAATCTGGCAAAAGCTGTAAAGTTGTCAGCGAGTATTAAAACAGCTGGAACGACGCAATCTGCAGTCAGGGTGATATACTCGGTGTGTAAAACGCAACGCGAGTTCGAGCAGACACATCATTGCGATCTGCACAAAAATCAGCATCTAGAATTGTGTGCGCTGCCTGCAAAACAAACTGTTTCTTTCTCTCGTTGAGGCGCCAACTTCATTAGTATCCATAAAGCACGCAGCTCATTAATGAATGTCATTAAGACAGGCGGCGAGGCGCTGGGTGGGTGCCAACAAGACGACTGCTGGGTGGCTCGCAGGGAAGAGGATGAGCCCGGGCCAGCGGAGATGCAGCTGCTTCTCTCCCGTCTGGTTCCCGGGAGACGTGGAGACAGGCAGTTTGAGAATGTAGCCAGGAGGGGGGAGGTCTCAACTTGAGATGGGGGCGAAGGGTCAAGCTTACTTGGTGGCTGCGGGATGTGGGCGTTGCAGGCGTGCGCCATCTGAATGCTGCCGCCATTTTGAGGAGCAAAAGGAGCGAGTCGCCATTTTGAAGCGCTCAGCATCGGGGGAGAATTGGACTTTAAGGCATGACAGAGACATCTCAGACGTCTCCTCTGGTTGGCTTTGTCTTTTCTCACATGCACA